TTGCTGTAACAATGAGGAAGTTTCCTTTATTTTTACTTGACGGAAACCTCAACTACAAAATAAGGAAATAAGCGTAACTAAGAGTCTGATTGATAAGTGATGTAATACAGAGGCGGATGTTCGTTTACTGAATTTAAAGCGTCAGATAAATGGGGGAGGATCAAAATGTTTAATGAACCCTAGAACTAAATATAACGTCATACATTGAATAACATATAGTTGTACGTACAAGTGTGAAAGGAAATCTCTCTCTCTCTCTCTCTCTCTCTCTCTGTCTCTCTCTCTCTCTCTCTCTCTCTCTCTCTCTCTCTCTCTCTCTCTCTCACACAGTTATGATTGTCCCTCTTTAAAATTTATATTAAACCCACCCACCCCCCGAGACATTGGTTAATTCAACCCACACACCCGACCCAACAATACCCCCCCCCTCCCGATAGACAAACTGTGATGATTTTATTTTTCAGTATTAGTATATGGTTCTTTGTGGCAACATGTTTATTTTAGATACCATTTAGTTTGTACGTTACATGAAAACCTTATGACTATTTGCTCTTTCGGTATAGGCATCGGACCCGGGGGGGGGGGGGGGGGGGTAGCCTTTTTTGCAAATGTAGAAATAATGTAGGCATAGGTTAAGCCCCGCCCCCACTTTCAATAGACACGTTACAGTGTACATCAAAAAAGGGTAAGTGGAAGTTTTTGTAAAAAAAAAAAAAAAAAAAAAAATGGTATTGAGAGAAGCTCGATCCTAACTCCATCCCCCCCCCCCTCCAAGGATATTGTATTTGAACAATGGTCCCTTTTATTTTTGCTTGTAAAGTTTTTTTTGTACATCTAAGTTTGAATTTGTTTTTCTCTTTAACTTAACCCCCCTCCCTTTCAATTTCCTTCCTACGCCAATAATCTGAGACGCGTGCAATTCCTAGTCGTCTAAATTTTATCTTAGAATTTACTGGGAAGCTAGTCATTATTTATAGGATGATTATACTTGATCAATTGAATATTCATGAAATTGCAACAACATCTATGCTGCACGTATGATAACATGGCCAAATTTGTTAACAGGTTCCTTTTTTCATTATTTATTCACGAACTGATATAATGTTATAGATTTAAAAATTTTGATCGATTTTTTTTATTTGAGAGCAAATTAATGGATTTTTGTAAAGGTGTATAAATGTGTTGCAAATAGAGGTTTACTTGTATTTTAGTATCATTGTAGTATAATATGCAAAAAACAGATTCTTAATTAAGTAAAAAAAAAATAGATTTCAATATGAATTCGGTCGGGAAAAACTCCCAGAAAAGTCCATTTAAAAAACACAAAAAGTTTCTGGACTGTTTCATATTGGATATGTCACTTATCCCTTTTGTTTACGAAATGCAATCCAGATAATTAAAAAAATCAGAATACAAAATATCCAAACGCGTTCCCTAAATCATTTTATCTAACTACTTTTTAAAAATATCATCAGAAAGCAGAGGCTCGTCTTAAACACCAAAACGCATTCGCATATTTTAGATGGCAAAAATTAACACATATAAAAAAAAAGAACAAAATATCGGCATTTTATTCTACATTTCAAAAGATTTATATAACTTAATGTATGCTTAAATCTTATATCACTACTGCCCTGAAGTTAACTGAATTAGAATGGATAATTTAATATCATTAACGAACTTATTTTAAATTTTTTAAAAACATGTACATCTAAAAACATTGGGGGTGGGGAAGGGGGCTAAGATAGACCGAGTCCGCTGCCAATCCCTTTATAGGTCAAGATATGTCAATAAAATATTGTTTCAGTTAAATGAAACGTAGTGGGTTAGACCTCTCAATGTGTCTTTATGATTTATTGAAATTTAAAAATTCTTTGATAATGTCTTTCTTGGCAAAGTTTAAAGCATTCTAAAACAAATGCCACTGTATTTATCCGTCTTGCTTTTCCTTGAATCTGAAAACCCTGAATCTTTCATGCATTTCCTTCCGTACGAAATTTAGAAATAGCAATTTTGATAATTTTCGTACCTTTTATAAACATGTTTTTTTTAATCCAGGAAGTCAACTGGGGCCTTCCTTCTGCCTTCATGCTAAACACCCTTAATGCTGAAAATTCATGTTCTTCACCATACAAACACAGAAGCGGATCCAAGTACTTAGTCAAGTTCCTAGATGTTAACATAAACTGAAACACATTAGTGAAACCAAGTTCCTAGATGTGAATGAACTGAAACATACATGCATTAATAAGTGTGATACCTATTTGTTTTCCTGGTATCATATTGATGCTCTTAGGTCGATTTTAAGAGAGTTTCCATGGTTATTCAGTATAATTTCGTTATCACTAGTGGCGCAATCGATAGAAAATCCCACTGATATACACATGAACATGTAATTCTGTCTGAACTATTATTGATATAGGGATATTGATTATTTTCCCGTTGTTAATAAAAAGTACTTCCAAAATTTATACACGATTTAATTTTTTCTTAGTTACATCCCCTCCTCTCGATTATAAAAGTATTTATAAATTTCTGATCCGCCTCCGTATAAGTGTCTATAACAATGCATCCAATGCGTTACGTATATCATTCACGTACATGTATATAATACATGTATCAATCGCGGTAAACATTGTTACGAAATAATGTAAAAATGGTTATAATACTTATTTGCACTGGGAAAACCTTACAGGGGGTGACAAATCCCATTGCCCGACGCCCGAGGCTAGTGAATATTAGGTGGACAAGTGAAATTTTATCAACCACTTGCCCACGGGCAAGTGACTTATCAAAAATAGAATTTATTTGTAGGCCATAAATTTAAAGCTGGGCGTAGGGGCTTGTTTGATTTACTCAGCATTTGTCTTCCTCTTTTTTTGAAAAAATATCCATAAATACAGAATTAGTTTAGGTAGGGCAAGCAAAAATTCAGGAAGGGCAAGTCTATTTTGACCATGTACTTGCCCTTGGACAAGTGCCGTAAAAATCTATTTGTCAGCCCCTGGACCTTACAAGTTCTGCTTTAAGGAAAATAACATAAATTATATTAATATATCCTATGTACTCTTTCATCTGATAATAATTAAAAGCTTCTAGATTTTTTCGAACACAAGTATTTAAAGTTATATATTAGTATACATAAAGAATTATCATATAAAATAACAGTTTTACAGTAAAATATTTTTCTTTTCTAAAATAAAGGACATGTGGATTTCAACGTACATATAAAGCTGAAGAAACATCGCAATTCTCTAATTACCTTAATTAACGTGTTTGAATTAAATCCAAAACCTTCTCGGATCATTGTAGCACTTGTTCCAAGACAGGACATCGTTTGTATTTGTGCAGGGTTATAGTCTTTTATGTCTGTTAACTGTAACGATCGATATAACCTCTCCTGATTGTGTAGTACTCCAAGATAACAAAGAATATACGATCAAATAAGGCTTCCTTACTCAATGGAAGTAAGTCTTGTTATCTTGTTATCTTATAAGTTGAACTTGTGTCAGGTCTCTCATACATACAACCGCTATATAGCATTATTTCCTTGGAAGTAATAAATTTAGACACCCCCACCCTCCCCTCCCCATTTCTACCTGCAAAAGTGTTTTTCTTAGACCGACCTAAAATTAAGAGGTTGCAGATATGTCCATTTTGTTTGACATGAGAGAGGAACCATTACATTCCCCTATAAGTCAAAATTTACACATTTTTTAATATGGTTTAAGGTCTAATTTAATTTTTTCCCATCCACAAAGAAAGGGGAGGGGGGTAGATCCTAGCTCCCCTCCCCGGATACAATGATCTTGAAAAATAGATATATCTCTTTAACTAAACACGCTCCCTCCCCCACTCCTGTAACAATAACAAGTCTGATAATTTTTTTTTAATTGTTCCTATAAATAAAATATATGCTAAACATATACCAGATTTCAATTAGTGGTATTTTCAGTAATATTTAAAGCAGCTGTTTCTGTTCTTAAGTACCCCCTCCACTCCCAACCCTTTCCCATTGTCCTTGAACAACGACTTAAGGACCGGTACACGGCGATTTCTACTTTTTGACATTATCTCCCCAAGATAAATCAGACAGCTACTGTGAATGACTTTCGTAACTGATATCTCTAATTCAGGTCTTATTTTTAACACCGACCTTCCCCCCCCCCTTAATTATAAAGGTATACATTGAATAAACACGAATAAAAGTCGCACAAATGTCTGAAATTTTATCGCCATATTGGATCAGGGGTCTGCTTTATCATTTAATGGGTTACTATAGAGGAAAAATTTAATTGAAATTAAAGCTGCATGAAAAAAATGCACTGACGTTTTCTGACTTTGACCCAGTTTAGACTTTTAATTTCAGATCATAACAGTGATATAGTGTTCCAGTTGAAAGACAACCTTACTATCCCTAGTTTTCGGATTCATTTAAATCGATCTGAATAACATTTTAACGAAATCTTTTATTCCTCTACATGATTTTCTTTTTTATTTTTCAGTGTAAGATTTTTGAATGATTTAAATTGACCTGAACTCGGTAAATTCTATATTTACAAAGGGATTGTGATGTAAAAAGAAAATGATAAAACCTTAAAGAAAAAGAAAACTTTAAAAAAAAAAAAAAAAAACTCTATTTTTAACAAAAATAGTTTAAAAGGAATAATATGTATAATCTTTTAAGGTAGCATGTGAACATCTGTTTTTATTTATTTATGCACTGATGATTTGTTAAAATCAAAGCGTTAAAGAATTTTACGGATATATATTAAATCAATTAATATTTTTTGTCGAAAGGATGGGAGAATATGCAGTGCAAATAAAAAAAATAATAAGCTCCGAATATATATCATAATTTAAGTAATAACTTTTTAAATATTAGTAAAAACTCAGGAAAGATAATACCCTTAATTACAAATTCACAGTTGACATCTACAGAGATTACAGACAAAACTTGAGAGAGAGAAAGAGAGAGAGAGATATCTATAATGAGAAAA